TATATATATATATATATATATATATATATATATATATATGTAAGTTTGTATATAGTTTCATCCTGTAGTTTTCTGTTTTGAGTCAACCTGGTCAGTTATTCTTCTTTTAATAGATGATGAAGAATCTATGTTTAGAAGAAGGTGGCTTGATCCATCTGGAGAATGTGTCCCTCCCTGTGGCAACTTTTGCCAAGTTCCAGCCACAGTCAGTGGAGTTTCTTGACATCACAAATCCTAAAGCTGTGTATCCTTATCACTTGGATTTTTAAAAAAATATGACTCGCAGAAATACGATTTATAAAAAAGTCACTCTTATTAGTTTGTTCAGAATATATTTTAACACCATTATCTGAGCTGTTGACAAAGTATACTTTGGTCTTAGTAGACACTTTGCATGTCGTGTTGATAACCTTAACAGTACCCTCAGACTAGAGAATGCACTTAGGAACTTTGCCTGTTTAACAACAGGAGATGTTGTGGCAATTTCTTACAACGAAAAAGTGAGTATTATCTGTGCCATGAATGAAACAGTAGTGAGATTTTCCCTACTATCGGCAGATTTCTGACTTTTTGGGAGATAAAAACATTACTTGTTAGATTGTTATATGCAGCTCCTAGACTTTTTTTACTAAGTTCTATCCTTGATGTCATCTAATAATCAATTATTCAGATAGTTAAGATAAAACTTTGAAGAGATACAAAATAAAAGTATTTTCCTAGACCGAGGCTGTCCAACAAGAAGTCTTCTATTGTTTATACATTATCTATTGTAAATTATACTTCATTTTCATGATATTCCAGGTATATGAACTTTGTGTTTTGGAAACAAAGCCTGGAAAAGCAACATCCATCATTGAATGTGATATGAATGTAAGAACACAAGATTTGTATAATAAACATAAGGTTGTTTTAAGTAATTTTATATCACAGAACTGGGGAAGACAATAATATTGTATAATGCTATCAGTTGACTTAGAAAATGTTTTTAATTACTAGCTATAGGGAAATTAGTATTTCATCAGAATTTTTTTTAAATTCAGATTTTTTAACTTATCTTGACTCATTCCTATCAATTCCTTTGAAATCATACTTTTATGCTATCATTGGACTTGGCACACATTTTTTATTTCTAGGATAATTGGTGCTTTATCAGAATTAGGAAAATATGAAATCTTTTTTACTAATAATTACTCATTCCAATCATTCATAACCACATTCAAGAGCACATGTATTTTCATTTGGACACCTGCAGGTTGAATTTGCACCACCTATTGGATATCAGGAACCCACAGTGCCTCACAGTAGAGAAGAACATGAACAGGAGGAGGTAAGTGGATGGTAATCATCAGAGCTATAACCTAAAGTACATTATGGCTCAGCATAAAATCAAGCTAGATTCCATAGTGTTTGGAGGACAGCAGGGTCAGAAATAATGGCAGACAAATGAGTGCAGTACAGCAACAAGTAAAGGCTGTCTATTTTTTCTGCGGATATTTTTCTACTTGTTTTCTCTTAATTTCTGTAGAATAAAAGTATTTTTCACAAAATATGTTACTTTAGTATTGCTTTCTGACACGGCGACCCCAGCACAAAGACTTAAACCCTTGTTTCTCTTTCCCTCCACCTTGTGCAGATTTTTGCAAGTTTTTCTAAGCTCCTATGATGTCACACAGTTTGGACAGACTCATTTCATTAATTTTCATTGACATCTTTTGTATCTTAAAGTTAATGGCAGGGATAACAAAATATAAAGTGATGCAAGTTAATGTATATTTAATGTGCATGTTGTATCTGTTATTTGCAGTAAGACATGCGCAGTTTTTTAAAGTTTGTTTTGGTCCTTGCAGTGAAATACACATTTCAGTGGTATACCCTGCTGGTTGGTTGACTGAATTTAATAGTGAAAAAAATATTGTTATTGATTTCATTGTGAAACAAATCATTTTCATCAATTTCACTCTCTTTTTTAAGGACACGCCCATGGATACAGCAGATTATGTTGACCAAAATTTGTTCAGAGTAAGTTGTGTGTATTTGTAGCAAAACAGTGAATTTTGTAAAATAATTTTTGGAACCAGGTTGCCATCTAGTCTCGTTGAATTATAATTTTAGTATTGATAGTATTGTGTCTGTACTGTTGCCACATCTGCATTATAATTGTCTGTGTTACCATATAAGTTAGGATTAACAAATGGATTTATATAACTGCACCAAGGGATATATCTTTTAGGGATATAATTAGTGTGTTTATCTTTTTAAACTTGTTGAACATGGAAAGTTCTTCTGAAAGATGTAGGTATATTTAAAATTTTTTTAACACACACCAAAGTGGTTTCTCAGAACAGTTATTTCTATTTCTAGGCATTCAGTGGCCAGGGAGAAAGACTTGATGGAAAAAAGAAAGGAACAGAGAGTTCACCATCAAAACTAGAACCCCATGAAATAAAAAGGTAACTAAGCTAAGATTGGATGGCTATGGTTCATGAAATCTCTCAGCAAAGAAGGTTGCACAACCAGTTTTTAAAAAGGCTGTTTTTTTTTTTAGATCATAAGCTCCCAGAAAAATTTTGATCAATGATAACATGAGGGAAACTTGGATATGTTTCAAGATGTGGTTGTTTTGCTTACAATTTTTACTGCAAGGGATGTAAGGATAATTTTGTTTTGTCTTCAATTATGGTCATTTTATTTCCTAGGGGAATTCCAAATTATGATTACCAAAAGGGAAAAATAACATTTATCCGCAGAAGTCGACCCAAAGCAAATGGAACGGTGGAGGTGAGTACAGTATGCTAAATAGAGAATAATAGCACTTTTGAATCACTTAAAAATGTTGTAAAGTGAAAGGGAAGACTGGGCAGCCAACAACCAGACAAAACATGTAATTGATAATGCAAGATTTCTTTAAAATGATACATCAAATGAATGAAACTTTTCAGTTAAATTGATTTTATTTTATTTTTTAATGAGTTTGTGTACTTGATTTGCCCCATGCGCAAGTTTCACATACTAATATATAACATATAATAAATGTGTGATTAATGTTGTTGTTTTATACATTTCAGAAGGAAAATCTTTTTGAAGCATTTTCCGGAGAAGGACAGGCATTGAGAAAAAATAGGAAGAGATAATCTGTTGCTTTATCTTATAGTTATCTTCAAACAAAAGACAATTGACTTCAGAGATGGAACTATATATATATACATATTGCCAATATTTTATTTATATACTTGTTCTTTTGAGACTGGCATACTGAACTTTGTTTATCAGAATAAACAGTGCAATGGTGAATAGTTTTTGTTCATGAAGAGTCTCAGACACCACACCTCTATATCTACTCTACCATCTCTTTGAAATATACACAGCTAGATATTTGAACCCATCGCAGTTTCAAAGCTCTTCACATATTTCTTTTTTTTATTTGGACATGAAATCTTGGGAATTTTCACAATGAGTGGTGGAACTTAAATGACTCTTGTGCAACATTTGAGAAGTAAATTGGTGGCCTGTGGTCCTCCTGAGTTCCACAGGTTTGTTTTTATCACCATAGCCACCTGCCCTTTCCATACTGGCATGCTGATATCGGAAATGAGTTTCCAATGGCCTTTTATCTTCTCAGTATGACAAAAAATTAAATAAATCAGATTGGCCAATATAAAAAAGGCCATCCAGAGTGGTACTGCAGACACTTGTATAATAAAAAAAACAACAAAAAACAAAACAAAAATAAATAAATTATTAAAAAAATTAGTAGTAATAATAATTAATTAAATAAAATTTTAAGGCCTTGGGGACCACCAATAATATGCCATTTCTATTCTAGGAGAGGACGGACATTTGCAAAAATGGTTGATAGTTTGCAAGTCTTTAATAAAAAAAATGTTTTTTATTTATTTTATTATTATTATTATTTTGCGTGTGAGTGATGTTGGTTGGAGAAAAGGTCTTTGACATTTTCTGACTATTGTTCAATTCACATTTTTCAACAGAAAGAGTATTGGGTGTATAGAAGAAAATAGTCCCCAATTTAATATTTTTTATTTTATAGAAACGAGCCAAAACACCTCTCATAAATTTCACTTAATACTTGTGGTAGTACCCCAGACAAAAGTAAGTTGTCGTTGGACATCACAATTTTCATAATGGCGATGCTGCATTCAATTTAAAAAGCATGCTTAATGTGAAATACTGGCATTAAGCGGCCTTTTCCAGACCTCTAGACAGTTGATATTTACGTTTTTTACGTTTTTGTCAGCCACCCACTTAAAATATAAAGGAAAAATCTAGACCGATGCTTAATTTCTGCTGCTTTGCCTGTTAAAATTCATGTTTTTCACAAGAATTCCCGTTTACCGACAGTCGCCACTTATTCACCAACACAATATACTAGTAACAGATCGGCAGGGTAAAAGGTTCGAAGCGCGACCAGAATCTATCTCACACGGTGTCTCTTGCTCCAACGGTTCTCTTCCTTTGAGAAAATAGTATATGAAAAACGCCTTCCACCCAGTGTCTTATGTCCTCTTAATTTCCCGTCTAAAAATATATATATATATTTTTTTTGTTTGTAGTGCGTTTCAGGTCCTCCATCCTTCGTATTGAAATCTTTGTAGTCTGTATATTTTTTTCGAATTTCATCTGATTCTGTGTACTGTATGGTAGTTTTTGTGATTAGAAAATGTACTGGTTTCTCCACAGATAGTAACAGTATACCTCTGTAATCATTTAGTCTACCAAAAACATTTGGCTTACATTTCAGAAATTATAAGAAAACACCATAAGATCACTGACATTTTCAGTTGTTTTCTCGCAATTAAACTCTGTTATGGTTTCAATTTCTTCATAAAAATACAATTCTCATGTTTGTTTTTCAGTGTGCTTGATCACAAGATTGCAAGTGACACAAGACCGTTACCGCCATCAGTAATTATGTTTTCAGATGCTATATTTATAATTTGTTGTGTTTATGTTAAGATCCACTCTTAAGATTCGTCACACCATGATCTCGAGACGCCTTGATGTACCCTGAAAACTCATCTCGGTTACTTATCTGTCTTATAACACCCAGTGCCAAAGTATGTATGCCTGGTAATAATAATAATAATAATAATAATAATAATAATAATTTATTTTTATATTAAATGACAGATTCCATTAAAATCTAAAGTTACAAATTTGTTACTAAAAGTCTTAACTTGAAAGTCATGAAAGTGACGGTTTATGATTAAAATAAAGTAAATTTATAAGGATGGAACATTAAAAAACTTAATCGTATAAAAATTACTAAAAACGGATAAAAAAAATTAAAAGTTTCTAAAATGAATTTTTTGCAGTTCTTATATCAGCAGGTAAACTGGTGATTAATGAAACAGTAAATTATGAATTTGTCAGACAAAGTTTTATTTCTAAATATCTTTGAATAATATAAATGAATATAGTAATAATCTTGCGTGAAGGGGGAGTTAAATAGGCCTACGCAGTCGTGCCTGAAGAACCGGTTACACACTGAAGTGTTTTCAAAATTATAGGGCCTACTTTCTAACCTCCCCCCCCCCCAATTTGTTTTTTTTTTTTTTTAACTCTAAATAATTATTTTAATGTCCCCTCTATAAATAATTTTTAACGCGGTTTCATTTCGCCAGAGAGGTCAGAGGTCAGTTCAGTTACCTGCTGCCACTTCAATAGGGGATTCCCCAATGAGGAATGTTGCTCGGTTTCGGTATCGATCACGTGCCTGTGATGTACAGCAGGTGTGCGATAAGATATTCTTCGAATTGTGTGTACGTCATAGTTTCATTTTTCATCTTGAGCTAACAGAGGTAAAGTAACAAAAAGAACAAAAGACAACTTTTGTCATTATTTCAGAGTTATTCAAGTGGCGGATGTTATCTTGGGTGTGAAAATATCGGGATAGGCAGTAGTATCGGTCTTTAACAATTTTACTTTTCGGGGTTTTTTTACTGTTGTTACTTTGTGCTGCTACGGTGGTGACGTCACAACAGACGATCTAAATGTCAGCGAAATGTTACTGCTAGTTAGAGTATAACTAGTAAAAAAGTTCGGTTGTGAAATTATGATATTTTGGAACCTATGACATGTACGTACTCAGACCGTCATATTTGCCAAAATTTATAATTTACCTACAGGGCGTTTTCGCTTTTTTAAAAATCAGCTTCTTAATTATATATATATATGAGAGAGAGAGAGAGTATAGAAAAGAGTAAATCAAGCACAGCAAAATAATTTGAAAGTACAATCCGTCTTTCCTTAGAGCAAAACGACTCCAGTGGGGTGCAAGGAAACTGGAAACACACCCTTGATTCCTCCTAATTATAATTAAAAAATTAATATACATGGCAGTGGTTAAACGTGTAGGTATGCTCCCCTCTTTTTTCATGCAATACTGTGACAAGCAAGTGCAGTATAATTACACACCAACTAAAAATGACTGGGTGGTGTGTGGGGTGAGGATGGGGGATATACTGATAAAGGGGGAGGGTGTCAATAGTGTGAATATATAAAACCTTTAAAAGGTGTGCCTAAGCCAGCTGCCCAATAAATGTATACATACATAAAGAAAATACCCTAAGTCTCATAATGGCAAGAGATATTTTTCTTTCAAGTCTAGACCAGAACAAAAAATGATCAGGAATGTGAAATGACCTGACTCACTGGACTGCTGCTATCCCATACATGCATGCATGGTCCATGCTTTGGTTGACTATACTATCTTAACTTAGTCAAAGGGTCAGTTTCACAAATTTAATTAAGTTGAAATTGGACTTGGCAAAACATGCTAAGAATTTGAGTCAAGTAAGTTGCTTTTCACAAAATAAACCCCATTTTTAACAGAACCTCCAGAGCAAATTGTGATTTTCATTTAGAAATTATTTCAATTTTCAGTGGCAGGCTGTGATGATAACCACTGGCTCCAAGCCATATACCATTAAAACCAACTGAAGCCAGGTCAGTAATTTTTTGTAAGTTGTCACAGTTTTGGTTTTTGGAGAGTGTACATTCTTAGACCCCATTTCCATAGATTTTTAGATCGATCTATCCCTGTGGGGAGTCTCACTAGATTACTGTCAGCTTGGCCGGCTTAAGCGTCTGTCCCGCCTACTAAAAGCCTTAGCTGTAAGGGGGTAATTAACTATGGTGCCCGCCCGGCTGACTGCAATTTAGTGTGAACCCCCAGGGAGTTAGGTCGATCTAAATCTTAATCTCTAGATGGATCTAAATCTCTGGGAAAGCACCCTTAGTCTCTGGTGTCACAGACTGATGAGGTATGTGACAGAAGCCTATTTGGGTTTGTTAGCCATATTGTTGTTTGTTAACGATCATCTGTTAAATTCTTGCAGGCCCTCACAAAGGTTTCTTTACAGAGTTGACTATCTGATTGTAGTAGTTTAAGCTCAGAAAATTAATGACTTATGTCAGGCCTACCCAACTACCAGATTAAGCATGGAATGATCCCGTATTCACTGGTAGATTGGACCACACTACCAGTTTTCAAGGTGTGTGTCAGTATGCGCTTCAGAGTATCAGATTATTTCTTATCTTTTTCTTTTTTTTTTTTTTCAGATGCCAGTTTGTTTAGTTTACATGACTGCTGTGCCTATTGTGCTAACCTGTTTAGTTTGGAGTAATTGAACACCAGGTGTGTAAACTTGCCTATAAATTGAAGTTTTGATCTAAAAGAATCATTAAATTGCAGTACAGTACTTTTAATGTAAGTGTCCATTCAATATGTGAATAATAAAAAAAAAATTACAAGGAAAGAGCAAGGAAGAAATCCTTGTGTGTGTGTGTGTGTGTGTGTGTGTGTGTGTGTGTGTGTGTGTGTGTATTGCAAAGGTAAAAATTAGATTCTGGTAATCATTTGCTTGTTCTGTAATCTATTATTAGTACCACCAGCGTATACGCTGGCGGTACTCATGGTTTTAGTCCCGACCCGTCTCGTACAGCTCCGCCGGCTCCTGCGGCTCCGCCGGCTCATGCGGCTCCGCAGTCGGGCGCCGGAAACAAGTCACCGTTACCGCTTCTCCTCCTAGACCGCCAGGACCTGTGTCCCCATCTCTTGGATTTAGGTCACATATAATCTCAACTTGAACACCCTGGTTTTTTTGTCTCTGTCGGTGCATTGGCCTGGGTGTGACACTTGTTGAAACGCACCCTTGTCAAAATTTTTGAAAATTCAAGGCTAAATATCTCCCAATCCAAAGGAATTATGGGAAAAATTACTACAGAAGTCTGACCGAAAGGCATATGTGGAGATTCCAATTATGCCATTGGATTTGACTTTTGACCTTTTTTTCAAGGTCAAACAAGCCAAAATTTTCTAAAAATGGGAATTTTCTGCCAAAAAATATTTGTTTGTGCTATTTTTTGGAAACTACACAGATCTAAGCTCTCCTGTTATAGTGAGAGGTTACAATTGGGGACTCCTTTCATCTTTGGGAGTTATGGGTCAATC